GATGCTGGGGTCTCACCTCTAGTTCTCACCCCTGCACAGGGAGGGAGGCACTTCACCCCTGAGGCATCTCCCTGGCCCCTTCCATGATACTTCAGAGACCATGGGAAAACTTCCATAGTGAGCATTGCTTATGTCCCGCCCCCACCCACACTCCTAGCTGTCACTCATGGTGTCTTGATTCCTCCTGTGCCTGCTTGTGAATGCTGTCTTTGTGGAGCACACAGGCTCAGCCTCAACCACTCAGCTCTTAACTATAGCACAGGAGGGGCCAGAGACTGAGTCTAAATGACTGGGCGTGGCTGTGTGACAATAAACCTGTAATGACATCATCAGGTGGCAGCTGAATTGAGCCTGTGAGACATAGCCCCCATACAACAGCTGAGAGCCCCGTTGTTCTCTTTGCCTTTCTCTTCTCAGTGTCAGGAGAAGCTGAGGAAGCTGCTGCCACCACAGTATGCCCTGGAGCTGCTCACAGTCTATGCCTGGGAAACTGAGATTCCAGACAAATGTGAAGGACAGACAGCCCAGGGTTTCCGGACTGTGTTAGAGCTGATCATTCAGTTCTTAAAGCTTCGAATCTACTGGACGTATTATTATGATGCCATCAATGAAGAGGTCAATGCCTACCTGTCCATAAAGGTCAAAAAAGACAGGTAGCTTGTCCCAGCATGGCTCTGCTCCCTGTGGGTATCAGGCTGTGATCCTGTGAGAAAGGGGAGGTGGGTGCTTTGTGTGAATGCAGCATCTCCTGCACTGGGCACTGTTACCTGACTGACATGAGGCCCTAATGCCCTGGGAGCTGGGGGATGTGGGGAGGGCTCTCCTGTCTGTGATGAGGACACCAAGACTCTGACGTTGTCCAGACCCAAACAGCAAAGGAAGAGGACGACATGGAATGGGAACTGAGATTATCCGATAGTAACAGCATCATAAGGGCTGTGAGGAACCAAAGACCAGCGAAGGACCAATTGCCTATAAATAATAGAATGCTATGTCACCCTAGGGAGTGACATGTCCTGATCTTGTGTTCAGTTTTCCCATAAGATTGGCTGGTCCACCTCTCCCCATCTCACAAATCAGAGACCCTGAGGGACCTGCTCCAGGACACACAGCTACTAAAGGGTAAAGGATTCGCACCCAGGCCTTGCAGGTCATACCCAAAGATCCCTCCAGGCTTGCTATATGCTGTGAGTCAGGGAGTCTGGCCAAACTTTAGATAGGGATGCTCTGCTGGGCTCCGCCCTGCCCCTGTGAAGTGATACCTGAGGCACTGGCCAGCTGTTCAATTCCCTTCCTGATGTTGCTCTGCAGAAGACCTATGATCTTGGATCCGGCAGACCCAACATGGAACGTGGCTGGTTTTAACTTAGAGGGCTGGCGCCTGCTGGCAGAAGAAGCAAAAGCCTGGCTGAAATACCCGTGCTTTCGGCTCATTGATGATATCCCCGTGGGCTCCTGGGATGTTCCGGTGAGGCCCTGTCATCATCCTGTCCCCTTGCACACAGCCTCCTGTCAGCCCATCAGTTTGGAAAATATTCTCATTGAGACGTGGTGGTCTTTTGCTAAAGGTCTCCACACTCCTGTAGAGGCCAACTGTGAGCCTTGTTTTACAGCTATTTTAGCGCTGTAATATTACAGGTTGGCAACACGGCTCAGTGGGTAAACAAACAGCTGACACTGAAGACCTGGCTTTGATCCCTAGAACTCGCATGGTAAAAGGAGAAAAACAGATCCCCAAGTTGTCCTGTGACCTTTATGTCTGTGCTATTACACACGTGGATATGCACATACCTGCACAGGTGCACCCAGATGAAAAAACAGATACATAGTCTCTGAGAGCTGAATCCACTGGCTCAGGGACACTCCACTACAGAGTGTCAGAACCGTGGAGGAGTCTGAAGCCACTTTCAGGTCCATGAAGCAGCCTGTCTTCCCTGTCTCATTGTCACCTGACCAATGGGACTCAGCAGGGCTGTGTCACAGGCACAGAGGCACAGAGGGACCTGCACTTGGACCTCTCCCCTCCCGAGTCAGAGTCTGCCTGATGCTAGGGAACTGATGATGTCTCGTGTGACCTCAGGGTAGGGATGACAGGGGTGCAGGGATGAGGGGAAGAAACCTCAGGAGGTCAGGAAGGAAGTGAGAGGGGACCTGGAGGGAGGCAGCTGTGGGAACAGTGACCTGTAGTGCTGTCCTGCAGTAGAGAGGTGGAGAGGCCATGTCTCCCCTTTGGCAGATCTGTTAATGTAGGTCCTTCCTGTGTGGCCATATGTACCTACAGAGGACATAGTCACAAGGATGTCCTGATGGCCACCTTTCCAACCTCTGTGTGTGCTGTCACACTAAGACCTCCATGTTTACAGTCATGATACCCACCCTCAGGACTGAGTTACATCCCCCTCCTGGGAGCAATGCAGGCTCCTGACATCCTGCTTTTCATTGCAGGCAGAGAAACAAGGATGTTTCTTCCTGTGAGCACCCCAGCATCTACCCAGGAGGCTCCAGAGACAGGGGCATGTGCTGCTCTGCTTCAGGCCCTTGACCTAGAGAGGACAGGATGCTGCTCTAGGCTCCAGTGAGGGGCATCCAACCTGTGACCCGACTCCAGGCTTCTGATCCCTGCCTGCCCATGAACAGCATCCTCACAGCCTGTGTCATCTGCCTTATCCTCCAGCAGTGCTCTCTGGGAGTCAGACTCTGAAGGAAAGAGAACTCAAGCTTGACGTCCATCTGTCCAGCTGTTGATAGGTTCTGTCCAAAGAAAAGTCTGATCATCAACAATAAACAACAGCCAGCCGTGAGGGGGTGTCTGTACTCTGAGGGATGCGTCCTCATCCCGCACAGAAACTGTTCAGCAGCGCACGTGTCCCTGGAGCCCTGGGAATCTGGCCAGTGTGCATTGAGGTGTACTGTTTCTACAGCATGCAGGCTGGTGTTACCCCAGTGCAGGAGAATACAATTGTGTGCACTTTAAAATTTGTGTCTTTAAAGCTTAGATGTGTGAGTGTGTGTGAGGATGATATTTGAAGCACTGAATTAAAGCAAAATGCATCGAATTAAACTAAAATGAGTTAATTTTTTCTTTCTCCTTTTCTTTCTGTCTGCCTGCCTTGCCTTTTTCCCTTCCTTTTCTTCCATTTTTTCCCTTCCTCCCCTCCCCTCCCCTCCTCTCTCCTCCCCCTCTCCCCTCCTCTCCCTTCCCCTTCCCTTCCCTTCCCTTCCAACTGGATCTTATATTTCCCACCCTGGTCTGGAATTCACAGAATACCACATGCCTCAAGTTTCTACCTTCTGAAGTTACACACACACACCCACACACACTACACTTCACATACAGGATAAATGGTTTCATAATTCAGTGTGGTGAACCAACACATTAACCATAAAATATCCACTTATGCCGTCTGTACTTGGGCCCTTTCTCACTAAGACTGCACTAAACTGCTGAGGGCCACCATCTCCCAATTCCTGCTCCTGTCCTCAAACCATACTCCTGTATTCAATGTCCACTCTCTGGGAAGGGGGAGGGGTGGGTCTCCCTGGCCCCCATTCCTTCAGTTATCACTCTAGCAGTCCTGAGGACCAGGAGCCACATTGTCCCATGTGTGAGAGGATGCGTGTCCCCTGGACCATAGGACAAACTACACGGTGTCTTGTACTTTATCTGAGCTGCTGGGGGACCCAGTGATGCTGGTCTATGATTCTATTCTTGCCCTCCTGAAACACCCCAGATCCACAGGGCTTTAATAAACAATGGCCCGTGGTCCACTGCCAAGCTGTGGACCCATCCCGTCTTCCCTCATCTACCCCAAACTAATGGAATTTCATGCGTGATCTGGAATGGCTGTATCCCATTTCTCCATGGTGGAATAGAAAGATGAGGACATTTAAGATCAAAAATGGAAGCTGTGGGTATGGCTTAGCAGAGAAGGACTTGCCTAGTGTCTGACAGAGGGAGAGGGTGTGTGTGTGTGTGTCTGTCAGTGGCAGAGTGCTTACCCAGCATGCATGAGGAATGATACAAAAGAATCGTCCTGAATTGCCTGTGGCTTTGATGTCAGAGCCACGTAATCCACCAAGCTTGTTGTCATGGCTAAGCAGTTCTCTTATCTCAGGACCCATGTGCTTGCATTTGGATGGCATGTGTATGCAGTGTGAGGTGAGGGTGGCTTTCAGTCCTGTCAGGGGATCACCAGCTTCCCCGAGTCCTGCACAAGAGCCCTTCTTTCCCCCACTACCTGTGCTCAGTAACCTGCTCAAAAGCCGGTAAACCATCCTGAGATTTGATCTTCCCAAATGTCATATAGCCAGTGTAAGCCAGACAGATCACCACAGATGAGGAGACAGGTGGGCCACAGCTTGTCACAGAGCATTGTGAAGCAATCTGCAGACTTCTGTGGAAGTGTGCTCACAGACACACCCAGAGGTGTGTTTCCATTTAGGGTCTGAGGCTAGTGAAGTTGGCCATGAAGATGAACCATTGTGGACCCTTTGAAGGAACCCTGAGGGTTAAATGGGGCTGGGAGCAGTCGCTGTCACAGCAGGTCCCTCCCCAACTGACCAACTTGAATCCAGTTTCAGAGTTGGAACCACTGAGTGTAAATGAAGAGGCTTCCTGGAGAACAGAACCCTGTGGTACCATGGTGGATAGAGTAATGCTTCCCCTCAGCGGGGCATAGACAGCTTACTGAGTGGGTGGACACTGGAGAGAAAGGAGCACAAGACTGAGGGGTGGCAGAAGGTCAAACATAAAGACAGGGCTTGGAAACCCAAAGTGTCTCTTGTCAAGCCCTGTCACTTCCCTGCCCAGGATGGATGGTAAGACAGCACCATGCAGCACCCTTAGGAAGAGCAGGGGTGAGTGCCTTGCTTAGGACACAGGGCTCTTGTGTAGATCCAATCTGGAGCAAGCACAATGCTGAACAACATGGCAGTCAGATGCTCTGGTATGGAAGTGTCAGCTGTGGACATCTTTCTCCCAGTGAGAGACCCTGCATCACTGTTGTCATAGAAACAATCCAGACACCATGAGGCTCCTCCCTTAGGCTGCCCATTGCTTATTCCTGTGCCCTGCTGTTAACTTCCATGCTGTTTATCACTGGGGCAGTTCTCAGTCCTCCACACGAGGGTCATTCCATCAGAGAATGGGTGTTAGAGACAGGAGAAGACTTTGGGAGCTGGTGGTCCTGCCCATCGCCTTGAACTCTTAGTGAGCAGGTGTCCATGGGGTGAGTGCACATGTGAGTCCTTTGAGTGTGAGAAATGAACCACAAGTTCACAATGCTGATTGACACTGACTGATGGAATCATTCTCTCTCTCTCTCTCTCTCTCTCTCTCTCTCTCTCTCTCTCTCTCTCCCTCTCTCTCTCTCTCTCTCTCTCTCTCTCTCTGTCTCTCTCTTTCTCTCTCCCTCTCTGTCTCTGTCTCTCTCTCCCCCCTCTCTCTCTCCCTCTCTCTCTCTCCCTCTCTCTCTCTGTCTCTGTCTCTCTCTCTCTCCCCCCCTCTGTCTTTCTCTCTCTGTCTCTCTCTGTCTCTCTCTGTCTGTCTCTCTGTCTCTCTGCCTCTGTGTGTGTGTGTGTGTGTGTGTGTGTGTGAAAGAGAGAGAAATAGAGATTCTGGAACTTGAGAGACTGAGGCAGGAGGATTCCTGTGAGTTCCAGGCCAGTGTGAGTCACATCATGAATTCATGTCTCAGAAAGAGAGAAAGGAAGCTACCATCACTGTGATTTAACTCAGTGCCTCAAAGCTGGTCATTGCCACCAATGTCCATGTTTCAAAGTCACATGTGTCAAAAATTCTGGACACATTTTATTTCCCCCGCACCCATGGGACCCCAGACTGCACATTGTAGCCACTCAAGTACAACCTGAGTGCACAGGCCACAGACTCACTGTTCCATGTCCATGTGTGGCTGGGGAACAGCTTCTGTGTCAGATAGGGCAGGGTTAGAAGCTCGTCTTGGGGACGTGGACAGAAGAAACAAGGGTTCCTCTCTTGGGTTTATGTGTAAGTAGAGACCTGGAAGGATCCCATCCAATTCACATCACAAACTGTAGCAGTTTGGTTTTGCTCTCACCACTACTGAATGTCTGGATCATGTAGAGTATCTAGTAAGCACTCAATAAATGTGTCTAGTTGAACCATAAACACACACACTCGTGTACTGTATCTATAGGGCACATCCCTCTGAGTTCACACACACACTTATGGCATCTGCTGTAGTTTATTCTTGATCAGACATTGTTGGACAGAATCTCCCAACAGGTGGACAGATAGAAGCCAAGCTTGAGTTCTTCCCTCCCCTTGTGAATCCATTAAGGAAGGCTGTCTGTGATTGGACAGGATTCAATCATGATGGAGAGGCATCAGAAACATGGAGTTGAATCCCAGGTAGGGCCTGTCCTTTTCGGATCAAGGGCCTGCAGCAGAGCAGGACATGCCCCTGACTCTGGAGCCTCCTGGGCATGTCCTGTTGGCCTCACAGGACGATACTTGCTCACAGCAGGATGCATGTCCAGTTCTGTTCCACCTGAGGCTAGAGGGATGGCAGAATAAGGTCAGAACATCAAATTTACCCTGCAGTCATCCCTGCACTATGGGAGGAGAATGTTGAGATCAAGGTCAGCCTGGGCTACACACCACCAGAAACCCACATCACACCCACCACAACAAAAACCAAAAGCTAACCTGCTCGAAAGGTACAGGAACCTCTGTCTGAAATGAAAAGACACAATCACGTCAGGAGCCTGCATTCCTACACGGAAGAGGATGTAAACCAGCCCTGGGGCTGGGTATTATGACTGGACACCTGGAGCTCCACAGAAAAGGGGCCAGCACATTCCCAGTTTGGAAAGACGGCCATCTGCACACCTTTGTGACTATGCCCTCTGCGGGTACATATAGCCCCACCTACAGTCCCCTTCTTCAGTAACAGATCTGCCAAAAGGGAGACATGGCCTCGCCACCTCTCTGCTGCAGGACAGCAGTACAGGCCACTGTTCCCACAGCTGCCTCCCTCCAGGTCCCCTCTCACTTCCTTCCTGACCTCCTGAGGTTTCTTTCCCACATCCCTGCACCCATGTTCATCCCCACCCTGAGGTCACATGTGACATCATCACTTCCCTAGCATCAGGCAGACCCTGCCCCAGGAGGGAAAGGTCCAAGTGCAGGTCCCTCTGTGCCTCTGTGGCTGTGACACAGCCCTGCTGAGTCCCATTGGTCACGTGACAATGAGACAGGGAAGGCGGGCTGCTTCATGGACCTGACAGTGGCTTCAGAGTCCATGGGATCCAAGTCCAACCAATCACTAGATGAGCGTCCTTGAGCCAGCAACCTTAGTTCTGAATCTCCTTTACACTCTCTCCGTGTGTGTCAGTGTGTGTGTGTGTGTGTGTGTCATTATTTTGTGTGTGTTTATGTATATGTGTGAGTGTTTGAGTTTGTGTAAATGTGTACATGAGTGTGTATTGTGTGAGTTTCTGTGATTGTGTCTGTGTACATGTTCACATGTGTAGCAGCACAGACATGAAGGCCATAGGATAACTTGGGGGATTTGTTTTTCCTCCTTCTACCATATGGGTTCTAGGAATCAAACCCAGGTCTTCAGTGTGGGCAGGGCCTTTACCCACTGAGCCATGTTGCCAGCCCATGATAGCTCTGAATGGTGAGAAAATGGCTGTAAAACAAAGCAAGCAGCTGGCCTCCATGGGGTCGTGGAGACCTTTAGAAAAAGACTTCAACTCAGATTATTCTCCAAATAAATGGAGTGACCAAAGTTGTGTGCAAGGGGACAGATTGATGACAGGGTCTCACCGGCACATCCCAGGAACACACGAGGGAACCATCCCTGTTCTTAAAGCATGGGTAGCAGAGCCACACCTCAGCCTCTAAGGCCAACCAACTCCAGCCTTCTGGGGTCCCACCAGCCACGTTCCCTGTTGGATCAGCCGGGTCCAGGATCACAGGCCTGCAGAGCAACATTCAGACAGGAATTGTTCAGCTGGCCAGTGTCTCAGGTGCCACTGCACAGGGGCAGGAGGGGAGCCGAGCAGAGCATCCCTATCTAAAGTCTCCCCTCTGTCTCTGCCTCACAGCATACAACAAGCCTGGAGGGATCCTTGGCATGACCTGGAAGGCATGGGTTAAATCCTTTACCCTTAGTAGCTGTGTGTCCTGGGGCAAGTCCCTCAGGCTCTCTGATCTGTGAGATGGGGAGAGTTGGACCATCCAGTGTCATGGGAAAACTGAATACAACACAGGATGAAGACATGTCACTCCCTAGGGTGACACAGCACTATTATTTACAGCTTCCCAACCCCTATGACTTCAATTAACACTGGAATCTTTCAGTTCCCACTCTGTACACTTCCCTTCCTTTGCTGCTCGATCTGAACAATGTCACAGCCTTGTTTCCTCTTGTAGACAGGAGAGCCCACACCTGCCTCCCTCCCTGGGCTATAGAGCCTCATGTCAATTGTCAATCAAGTGACAGCAGGGACATGTGCAGTGCAGGAGATGCTTCACTGACACAGAGCTCCCACCTCCCCCTTTCCACACAGGTACAGCCTGGCACTGATGGGGAACATAGCCACGTGGGGGCAGACACCTGGCTTTTCTGAGCTGTCTGTGCAGGTATTTGGAGACATCCTGGTGTTGAAAGTCATAATATTTTGTCCAGTAGATTCGAAGCTGTGTGTACTTGCTGATCAGTTCCAAGACAGTTTTGAAGCCCTCGGCTGTGTTGAACTCAGTCAATCCATTCCCTTGTTTCCCATGTTCCCAGGCATGGACTGTGAGCAGCTCCAGGGCATACTGTGGGGGCAGCGGCTTCCCCAGCTTCTCCTTACACTGAGAAGAGAAAGACAATGAGAAAAACGGGGCTCTCAGCTATTGTGTGGGGGCTACTTCTCACAGGCTCAATTCAGCTGCCACCTGATGATGTCATTCAGATTCAAGAGCTGATTAGTTCCGTGTGCTCCACAAAGACAGCATTCATTAGCAGGCACAGGAGGAATCAAGACACCATGAGTGACAGCTAGGAGTGAGGGTGGGGGCAGGACATAAGGAGTCCTCACTATGGAAGTTTTCTCATGGTCTCTGAAGTAACATGGAAGGGGCCAGGGAGATGGCTCAGGGGTGAAGTGTCTCCCTACCCATGCAGGGATGAGAACTAGAGGTGAGACCCCAGCATCTACATGAGTGTCAGGCTCTTGAGGAAGCAAACTCATAATTGTAGTTTAAGGAGGTAGAGAAGGGGCTTCCAGGAGCTATGTGACTGTCCAGACCTGCTGATCCAGCACACGGTGTATCATGTGTGAGACCCTGACTGATTACACAAGATGGGGCGTGAATGAGGACCTGCCCTCACGCTCTGCCCTCAAATGCTAAAGGTACACATGCACACAGATATACAACATTTGCTCCCATCAACAGGTATAAACACACTCACACACAGGCACACAGACACACAAACACACACAAAAACACTCAGAATATAATAAGAAATCATGCATTTAAAGACACAGCTTGACAAGTCAGGAAAATCAAAGTATAAAAGGTGACATGAAGGGTTTGGCCAAGATGGAAGACAAATCCAAAGGCACAAATGAAGCAGCAGCCATAGACAGTGAATTAGACACAGCTGGAGAGTGAGTTAGCTGACCGGAAAGTGGACTACAAGAAATCACCTAGAACAACCATGGCAAGTCCTCGCTTCTCTCAGCTACCCCTCCCCACTCCTTGCCCCCCCTACAGCATCCCTCCCCCCATCTCCACTCACCTCTGCTTCTCTCTCACCCCCTCTGCTCTGATTCCCTTCCCCCCATTTTTCTTTTACATTGGTTTTTTATTCTCAGTGTTCTTGCCAATTTTTATTTTTTTTGTTAACCTGACACAGAGAATCATCTGGAGAAAAAGTGAGAAAATGCTTCCACCATGTTGCTCCTTGGGAGGATTGAGGAAGGAGGATGGAACTTTGGGTTGGAAAGCTGCTGAAAGCTGAGAGCCTACCAGGCTGTTTGTGGGAACCTGGAAGACAGGGGAGCTGAGAGGCAGGCAGAGGACAGAGGCTGGAGTGAAGTTTCAGAGAAAAGCAAGGACCCCATCTGGGCTGCTTATGTGCTGTGTTTGCATGAAGAATCAGGGGTTTCTCATCAGCTGGGGCTGAGATTTAGCTCTGATGAAGAAGAGACATGCACCATGAGAGCTGAGCCATCTGAAAAGAGTTTCCTTATGGTCAGCAAATGGTAGCTGTGGTGCCAAAGCTGCATCTCCAGCTTGCAGGTCACACCGGGAACTGCAGAGAAATCTCCCAGGTCATAAGGTTCACTAACATGAAACCTCTAGGTTTGGAGGGGTCATGGAGAGCAACTGAGGCCTGGCACTGGGAGAGGCCAGGAGAAGCCATTGGTGAAAGTGCATTCTCCATGGCAGTGGAGACCCCGAGACACTGGACTTGCCCTGAGCAGGAGACGACTGCCAGGACCAGAGCAATGTGAGAACAGAGCTGACCTGAGCCTGAGACCAGCTGTGTGTGCTGTGGATGGCAGAGCCCGAGAAACTCAGAGAACTGTGAGTCCCAGATATCAGATACTGAGTCTTTTTGCTCTGTTGGAGGTTTGGTTGTGTTTTAAGGTGATTGTGACAGTGACCTGGTTTTCTCCTCTTACAGTAAAAAATATTTAATTTATGTTTTTAATATTATATGAGCCTACCATTGCGAGACTAGTCTTTTTATGTTTCGATTTTCTTTAGGTTTTGTTTTTAAGTTTGAGGTCTTTAAAGCTGTGGTGTGTTTTATGATGTAATACTGACCTGAGTTCTTAGGGACAAGCAGAAAGGAAAGGTTACGGTTCAATCGTGGTTTGCGTGTGTACATGTTGTAAAGGGGGTCAATTGTGCTGGTTAGTTTTTGTCAACTAAACACCAGCTTGCTTCGTCTGGTTGGAGTCAATCTTGATCAGTAAAATGCCTCCATCTGACTGGCAACGGGGAGTTTGTGGGGGCATGTTACTAATTGCTGATTGATGTGGGTGGGAATAGACCACTGTGGTTGGGGCCATGAATGGAATGTGGCCTTGGGCTGTATAGAAATGCACACTGAGAGAGCCCTGGACAGCAAACAGTGAGCAGAATTCCTCCATGGTCTCTGCTTCAGGGTTCCTCTGAATCCCTCAATGAGGGAGTGTGACCGGGATGTATAACCCAGTAAGACCTTCTCTTACTAAGCAAGTTGGGAAGAAACATGTTCATGTGATAAAGCTATGGCCTCAACAGAAAGCAAACTAGAATATACATCTTCTGTGGCCCGTGTATACACTTTGTCCAGATGAAGCCCGCCCTCAGTGACTAGGTCAGATGCCTTACCAGTTGGTACCAGTGCTTGACCAGGCGGATGAGACTCTTCACCTTGGTTGGGCGCTGCTTCAGGAAGTTCCGCTGGAGCTCAGTGAAGCAGGTAGAGAACTCGCCCTCCTTCTGCAGGTAGAGGCACTTCTTGATGAGATTGGCGTAGATTTCAGGATCAGGCTTGCTGTATATGGTAACATGACCTGTAAAGGAGGTTTTACTTATTTTAACATCTCAGCCCTTCTATGAGGTTCTTCAGTCTCTCTGAGGTGACAAGGTCAGTGGCTATGGGGTTCGGTGAACAGGCAGAGTTTTTCCACAGCAGGCGTCAGTCCACATGTTCCCATCTGTCCCACCACTCCTCAGGACTGCACACATGCTGGGCATTACAAAGTCTGTGCCACCAACAGGTCCTCATCCAGAGCCTTCCTCACAGGCCTGGAGACAGTGGTGGGAGGAACCAGCACACTGTGGTCACACACAAGGGAACTACACGGTCATCGGTTAATGGCCAACCACGCCTGGTTCCAGTATCTTCTGCATGGTTCTTGTCAACTGTGTGCAAGCCTGCTTGTGTCAGAGTTTACTGTGGAGCGGTCTGCTGCATTCGTGTATCAATGTCTCATGCTGACAGATTCTCTTCCCCATTTTGTGAGTGGATTGCATACACCAAGGTGTCTCCCCAGACACTGGGTTTTCACTGCATGATTTTCTGTATGTGTGACTTAATATCACATGGGTATTTTTGCCTACCTCCTGACAGGAACAAGACATGGCAGTGTTCGTGTGTGTGTGTGTGTATCTGTCCTTCCTGTGCACTTGTACAGTGGATGGGCAGCAGGCTATGGAATAGATGTGTGTATAGGTGTGTTTGCACATTTGAGTAGACTAGGCAGGCAGCAGGCTGTGACGTGTGTGCACATGTGTGCCATGCAGCAGGCTACGCAAACAGGGTTTGATGTTGGCACAGGGCAAAGTCACTCATGGATGGAGCTTGGAGAATCCAGTCAGTCAGTGACCAGGGAGGTCTCTCCCTCATGGGCTTATTCAGTTTCAGGGTCTAGATTACAATATGTCTCATGGCCTGTGTCATCTTGTGCAGGGCTATGGCTGTGGTCCTCTCTTTGGCTGTCGCCCACACCACCATTCCCAAGGCAGCCCTTCTGTAGTGGAGTCGCCTCCTCATTGGAAAGCTACTGAGGGTGAGGAAGTCCTTGACCCAGACAGGCTTCTGGAAGAGCCCCCTCCTGGCTCATTTCTGGTTCGACCAACTGAGCCCCCTCCACTGAGCAGGGTTCTAAGCCCCTTGCAGCTTCCCACAGCAGGCTGCCCTGGTCCTACTCCCAGGCTGGCCCTCTTAGTCCCTGCTGCCTGTGACTCTGGACTGTTTCCAAGGCTCTCCTAAGCCAAAGGCTTTTCTCTAAGTTGATAGCAGCAGTTCACACAGTGGCCAAGAGGGGTGCTGTGTCCCCCAAATGTAAAGGCTCAAGTATTCCCCAAGGCCCCACTGTGCTCTCAGAGGTGTTCCCTGAATCAGACAAATTGTAATTTTGGAGACACCCTGTGTGTCAGGCCTGGTATAAGATTGTTGCAGAATATTTGATCACACTATGAACCCTGAGATTGAGTTTTTTACTGGAAAAAATCTGGTTTTAGTTGTGGTGTGGTTCAACCTTTGTACACCCCTTTAATCCAGGAGCTTTCTGTTTGAATATTGTAAACAGGATTAAATAAAGTCAATCATAGGTCAAGAGGCAGAAAAGCACCAGTTGACCAGAAGTGAACATGGGATTATTAAGAAGAAACCATAGAGAGTAAGAGTGAGTCAAGAGGAAGGATAGACAGAGCCACAGGAAGTAGAAGAGAGTTTGAAAGAGGCATGAAGAGAGTTTTGTGATGTCATGAGTGAGGGGTGAATTGTGGAACATTCTGGCTGAGGAAAAAGGTGCTTCTGGGTGCTTTCCCTCCCAGAAAGCTAGCAGGCTTTCACCACAGCATGTGGTTTGCAAGTCTACACTGGTAAAATTGAATAATTGAGATTTTTGTCAAAAGACAAGATGAGATCTTTTAATGTGTAATGACATGTGTGTGCATGTAGGTTGTTGCAACAGTGGTGGCTGCATCTGCAGATTTATTAAGGGGACAGAGCTCCACTGAGAAGATCTACATCCTGCACAAACCCTCCTCAGACACCCCAGGTCTCTGCCCAGCTCTGAGGTTCCCATTCTTTGGGAGAAGACTCATGAGTTTGTTATTTTCAGTGAAGACTACACAGTCTCATGTTTAGGAAGACACAAGGCACAGCCAGCCATGAATAGGCCTGGTATGTTAGGGGAGCATCTAGTGTGACTTCCTCCCCTAACTGAGGCAGCTCACTACTTGATGTCCTTCTGGGATGGAGTCTCTCTCCCCACTATCAAGTTCCTAAAATCCCTCCTCCCCAGCTCAGCTTTAAAGAGATACTCTCTTTAGGCGAATTTCTCAAATGATAAGCATTTTCAGTTTGGGGATGGAAGGTGTGGGCTGGGGAGACGGCTCAGTCAGTAATGTGCTTGGCTAAGAAGCTTGAGGACCCATCTAGAAATCCCAGGAGTCAGGGAAAAGGTCGGTGTTGGCGGCGTAGGATGTAATCCCAGGACTGAGAAAGGGGAGGGAAACTTGAGGGTCCAGGGGCTCTGTCCAGCCAGTCAAGCTCATGTCTGAATTCTGAACCAGGGAGAGACAAGATCTCAAAAAAATGGATGACTCTTGAGATGTGTTAGCTATGGCTCAGGATCACACCCACACACAAGAGAACACCTACAAAACACATACATGCACACACACACGTACATATACACACATGCATATGCACACATACAAACATACACACACATATACACACATATACACAAACATACACATACAGACATACACACATATACACACATACACACACACCAACACAGAAGAGAACACCTATGAAACACACATGTGCACACACACACACACAGAGGTGGAATTAAAAGGGAGGATGAAGGCATGCAGAAGGGTGAGCTGAGTTCTCTGGCAGGCTGACTTACCCAGGACATCAAAGGCTGGAAGCACATCAAACTCCATCTCTTGATGAAGGTGTGTGGGGGGGGTCAACTTAAAGCTCAGAGACCGAGCGTCGGGCCTCCCTGAACTCTGAACCTCAAACGTGACTTCAAAATGTCTCTCACGCTGAACCTCATACAACTGTTCCTTAATTTCCTCAATGAACTCTCCCCAACGGTTCAACTGATCCTCAAAGCTGGTGAGATTATTAAGGAACACCACCAGGTCAGCGTCTGACTTTCCCTTGAGCGTGGTGCCTTTGCCTGAGGAGCCACACTGAAAGACAAGGTTGAGAATGACAAGGGACAGGGAGAGCCATTCTGGGCAGTCCTGATGCTGAAGAGCCTAGGAGTCCTACACTGAGGGTGGTTGGATGGGTAGATAGAGCAAGCTGACACATGTACAGTGGAACACTAGTCACCCCTGAAGAGTGACATCAGGGTCTATGTAGGAAAATAGAAGGTGCTGGATCTCCTCATGGTACAGAAGATAAACCAGACTGTGAAGGGAAAACTCCATGTTTATCTGTGGAGACTATATCTGTGTGTATGTGTGTGTGTGTGTGTGTGTGTGTGTGTGAGAGAGAGAGAGAGACAGAGACAGAGACAGAGACAGAGACAGAGAGATGTGGAAGTGTGTATGGCACTGGGGTAGGGGAGGAATCTAAAGGAAATGAGCAAGGAATGGTAATGTGTGACCCTATAGCACAGTGTAATATGGAATACCATATAGAATCAGAGCAACTGAAAAGTAATAGGAAGTGATCAATATCTAGAAAACAATCATTTTAAAAAGAAGAATTCCCACTGAGAAGAGCCTCCCTAAATCAAATGCTGAGACTCATCACTAACACACGTAAGCACCAGCTACTGTTGAGAGGAGGCATTACAAATTGTCACATCTGCGGATGGAGAGGTGGGTCAGTCGTTAAACGTGCCTGCTGTTCCTGTGATGACCTCAGTTTAGTTCCCAGCACCCAAGTAGGCCAGCTCACGGCCACCTATGTAACCTCAGCTCTAAGGGATCAGACACCCCCTCTTTGATCTTAAGAGAACCTGCACTACTGCATACAGGGCCCCCACTCACAACTAAACATATAAAAATACAATCAACTAAAACAAGAAAAAACTTCATTTCTGCGACCTTCACAGAGCCTGAGAGTTAGGTACCATCGTCATGAAATGTGATTTGACAGATGCAGAACTGAGCCCAGAGAGGGTCCACCAATCCAGTCATGCAGCAGGAAGGTCCTGTTCTGTCCTCTGTGTCACATTTGACTTAGTCTATGTGTCCTTGCCATCCCGGGGCATGGACTGAGAACACTGGGCATGGAGAAGGTAGTTAAGTTACCCTATATCACACAGCAGTGCACAGGTTGGATTTCCCAGTTTCAGATTCCAACCCTGACCCGCCACTCTCCTCCAGTAATGCTTTGCCAATCTGGGCCTTAGTTTCCCTGACTCTGAAATGGGTGTGGTCTGGGAGTGGGGAACATAAACTGTAGCTGAGGCTCCTTCTCTAATACAGATGTGGGACCCTGGGGGAAGAACCCACTGCCCAGCTGTGATCAGAGTTGAGGAGGAGGGATCAGAGATGCAGCCTGGTTTCTAAGAGTCCTCTCCCACCCCATCTTGGTCAGCACAGGCTGTGGAGAGCTCACCTTCACCACCTTGGAGACCCTCACTGGGTGGGCAGTATCTCGGAAGCATCTCTCCTTCAGGAAATCACACACAATATTGATGGCTGATTTGACATCATCACCAAAGAGGGTATCCGGAAGGAGGTAATCCTCTATGAACTTGTCCAGCTTCCAGGCTGGGATGCTCTTGAGTTCCTGCCCCATGATCGGTCTGGAGCTTTTACCTTTGCAGCCTGCAGGTCCTGGGTCTTTCAGCCTGGCTAAACTAGGAACAAAATTTTCTGTTTCCATTTCCCAGAAAGGGTGTGGCTATGCGTAACAGCCACGTCCTGGAAGCCAATGACTTCAGAGCTTCTGACTAGGTACCTCCAAACCAGAGCATTCTCAGGATCCTATGCAGGGAAGAATGCAAAGGAAACTGATCTGGTTTTCTCAGAATTTCTTCTGGAAAAAGCTGTTACACAGCATGTTTGAAGAGCAATCTGTACACTTGGAGAAGAGAGGAAACCGAGTCAGGAAACTGCAGAAGGTGGCTGGTGGCTCCTGAGCTCGGTTTCCAGGTTCTGTTTTAGGCGGAAGTGGGTGTCATTTTCTTTTTAAGAACAGCACCCAACAGGTTTTGTTTTTTTCCTTTACCTCTGGACTTGCAGTTCTAAGATTACAGAAACTTCTTACAGAATGCCCAGCCTTCCCAGAAGCTCCCTCTCCTACTCACGTCCTACATTTTCTCCTGTGGTGCTGGGTGGCAGGGTGAGGGTTGGGTCTAACCTAGGGCATTCCCAAGGGTGAAGTAAAAGTAAAGGCCTTACCACCGAGCTGGGGTCAGGACAGGTCAAAGTTGGATATTAAAGTGAGCTGTCTTTCAGGGCCTCGGCAAGGTTGACAGCCTTTGGGTGGCACAGGTCCAGGAAGAACACTCATGGGGCCATCACCCAAGGCCACATCAAACAGTTTGACGCCCTCCAACCCCCTGCCTCTGTCTCCTCATCTTTTGTTTAGTATTTTCCACTTCATGGTTGTTGTGGTCTTACTTTGAGGCCAAGGCTGGACGTGAACTCATGATTCCTCTAGGTTGGTCCTCTCAGTGCTGGTGTTACAGGGTGGCCACTGTGCCTAGCTGTGCAGTGCATTGTCTTGGTGCTGTTTGTAGTCTGATACTAATCCTGCCCCAGAGAAGCAGCAGATGGAATACTCAGGTGATTCCATGTGAACCTGCTCCCCATTTTAACTTGTCAAATAAAGGCTAGAGTCTGTGATTGGGCAGTGGAAGGGAAAGGCAGGGCTGGAGGTTTTAGAGAAGAGAGAGATAGAGGAAGGAGGAGGGGAAGATGAGCTGGAGGATGGAGAGAGGAGAAGATGGAGGAAGAGGAGGCAGAAGATGGAGCAGACCCACGTGACCTGGAGGAGCCACAAGTAGCAAAGTATCTTATAGCTGGGGAATAGAGTAGTGGAATGGCATATCTGCCCAATCTTAGATGTGCACCTTCTAAGTATTACAACTGAGTTGTGTGTTCTTTGCATGGGCATATTGGGATTGGAGATTTACTGATACAAATCTGGCCGGTATTAAATATTAAGGTTGTCCGGTGTTTCCCATTCAAGATGATTTAGGTGGGCAAGAAAGAGGGCAATACCACAGAGCAGTCACTGGAGGTCTGCAGACCAGCCACGGGGGTAGATAGCCTCTGGAACTGGAGCCATACCTCCAGGCTTTCTCTGGAAGGACTGGTTTGAGCAGCTAAGAAAGTCAGCCTTGGGAACCAGGGCCAGAGAGCCATTTTCTGTATCAGGAAAGGAAAAATGAGCAGCTATTGATCCCAGAGCCTAGCCGGACCAAGCTTGGGATTTTTAAACTTACACTCAACAATAATGTCTTGTGCAATGTGTGTTAACTTACACCTAAGGCAAAATGTCGCCACAAGGGCTGAGACAGCTGAGACGGACAGTGCTATGCTAAACTGTCATCATTCAGCAAGATTATAGGTTTACTGTGTATGTGCTTCTGTAAATATACAGATAAAGACCCAAAAGAGGGTGAGGAATTTGTCCTTAGAAAATCAACACCATGGGACTCTGCACTAAGAGCACTGGAGACAACAAGGACCACAGCAATGCAGGAAAACCAAACTGTGCAATCTGTGACCAAAGATGACTTTACAACTTAGTTGTGTGTGTGAGGATGAGATTTGGACCACTGAATTTAATCACAGTGCACCGACTCAAACTCAAAACTAATTTATCCTCATTCTACCTTCATTAATTCCCTTCTTTCTATATGTCATCCTTTTTTTTCTTCCTGTTAACTGGATCTTATTATACGTCTAGCCTGGAATTCACAGAACTCTAAGTATCTTAGGGTCCCAAATTCTGGTATTATACACACGCACACACACACATGCACACGCACACGCACACACGCACACAGACACACACTCACCACAATTCACACAGACCTAATGATTCCATAGGTGCCGAGCCAGAGCCGAATTATCAATTATCATGGGGTCTCTTCGGCACTTTTAACAGGCACTGACTGCCCAGCACCTTGTGAATACACAGATACATTAACCACAAAAGACCCACATGTGCTCTGTCCATATAGGCTGATGCTCACTAAAAAGGCAGGAAACTTCTCAAAGCCACCAGATTCCAACCCCTGCTCCTGTCCCCACACCCTACTCCTGACCCAGTGTCCTCTCTAAATCTTTGTGAAGTAGGAGGAGCGGGTCTCCCTGGCCCCCAGTCCTTCAGTTCTCTCTCAAGCAGCCCTGAGGTGCAGGAGCCCAAATGCCCACAGGTGTTAGAAGATGCAGTTCCCCTGGACCACAGACTCTTCCCACTCTGCCTGGTGCTCTATCTGAGCCTTCGGTGGACATGGTAATACTGGCCTATGATTCTAGTCTTGCCCCTTCTGAAACACCTGCAGATCCACAGAGAGGGTTTTAATGAACCATGGCCATGGGTCTCCTGCCAAGCTGGGGACGCATCGTGTCCTCACTAAGACTCCCATGTAAGTCCTTCTCTCTTCTCCAGCCCTGTCGGTACTCAACACTGGACACTAGCTTCCTATTGGACCAATCGGTCCTCATCCTGGGCCTACTTCTCCCCTTCAGGTTGGTCATGAAGTGGCTCCCTCATGCCAAGAAGGAAGACACAGTCTCTCAGCTCTTTAAACTCTGTTGTCATTTTGCTATGGGAAAAACCACACAGCTTCTCCCTGCAGCCACATGGGATGGACCGGGCACCTTTATTTTCTCAGTGACTCTGGGTCTGTCTCCCACACTAAATCTGCTTCTCTTGTTTCTGTTTCTTCTGGGTTTTGTTCCCACCTCTGGGTCTTTGCAGAGTCTGTTCCCAGCACCTTACATGTTGTTCCACTTCTGCGATTGGCTGGAGGCCCTGAGTTCTTCTTTCCTGGGCTAAGAGGTCCCTGCCTCGGGGAGCAACTCAGGAGCCCTTTCCAGGGTCCCAGGCAGAGTCAGCCGCCATGCTACCTGTCCCATAGACTCTTATAAGCAGAACTTCCTGAGAAAGGGGAGAAAGATCAAGAAGGAAAGCCACCTGGGTGTCAAAGACTCTACAAGGCTGACTAACCAATTAGAACTTAGTGATGGAGAGCTGGAATGTTGCCAAGCCAGAGCCGAATCATCAATTACTGTGGGCTCTCTTCAGCACATTTAACAGGCACTCATTGCCCACCATTGTGTCTTACCCAGCAGGGAGCCCTGCCAAGAAGGACTGGCCTGGCTAGATCTGCCCATGGGTGCACTGGTGGCAGGGATGTTATAGGGAATGACTGGACACATTCTCACTGGATTTGAGGACCACTCCACAGGAGGACGCTTCATCCTGTTCTGCACATCTGGTGGGGAACCCACCACTGGGTGATCACAGGCGCCAGGGATGAACCCACCACAGCGATTTTGGTGTGGACAAAAAGTCAGACTGGTCCTTACATCTTCATACTCATATTATGTAGGCATCCCACGTCTAAAGTTCCTGCTTCTCAGAGAACTCTAGCTTGAGTCTAGTTGGCATTAAAACCAGCCGGGACAAGTCAGTTTCCCTTAGGTGTGGTCTCTGGCAGGTTGTCCACATCCAGTGGTTTGGCCTCACACCTGTGTGAGTGTGAGAAGCACTGATGTATCCAGTGCTTTATTCATTAAGAGTCACACTAAATCCGGCTGGGGGGGGGCCTTACATGGGAGGAAAGGGAGGATGAAATTGATCAGGATATATTGAATGTATATTCTGATAATTTCAAAGAATATTTTACAAAATGTCCAGGAGGATACTCAATTCCACTATATTTTTCCTTTCAAGAGGCACAAACGCTTCTGCAGACCTGGTCAGTTCCCCACCCCAAAGTGACTCCTGGGATATCATGTCTCTAGCCACTGCTGGACATGTGGCCAACTGGGCAAATCCAGGTCCAGTGTGACCTGGACACTCTGGCTCTGTCAGGCTTGCCGAGGATGTTGCCCTCATAGGAATGAGTGACCCTTGTTCAGATGCTCGGGAGAGCAGGGAAGCAGTATAGATCAGCTGGGCACACTGACACACTATAGTACCAGCAACAGCGGCTGAGGCAGGAGGATTGCTGTAAGTGGACTGACAGCCAGCCTATAACAGAGGTTCTCCCTCATAAACAAAAACAAAAAGGGTCACTGAGCTAGCTCAGAGGGACCAAGTGTTTGTCACCAAGCCTGGTGGCCTGAGTTTGGTCCCTGGGAGCCAGGTGGTGGAAAGAGAGAGATCTGATGCCTACAAATTGTTCTCTGACTTCAAATGCTCACACACATGAAATAAATGGAACAGAGTATTTAAAGCATAATTAGCCTGGCTCTCCCCTGATCTGCACAGGACCCTCAGGCTAGCCTCTTGTGTTCCTATCCTGGCACTTGTGGGAGGAGTCTTCACATCCCATTTCCCTCAGGCAAGGTCAGGGTCCACCAAGGTGCCTCTGCTATCAGCCAGGCCATGAAGACTTTCTCATTTGCTAAAGGCTTGCCTCTGACATGAATGACGAGGCCGTGGCTTCTACTTCTCCAAAAGAAATCCCTTAAATCCACCTATGACTTATAGCCGTATCCATGGGCAGAGCCAATGTTGCAATAATTTCCTCAGTCTTCTGTTCCTTGTCTGCAAGCAACTGCAACAGTGATTTAGGTCTGTGGTGTGCAATGCATGTGTGTCTGTGTGTGAGTGTGTGTGTGTGTGGATGTGTACATATGTGGATGTATGACAGGGGCTTCTTTTTACTGTTTTATGAGATTGAACCTCATCATGTAGCCCAGGCTAACCTAGAACCCTGCACCTTCGGTATTAACTTCCCAGGACTTGGGGTCACAGGTGTGGACCATCCTGCCATGATGAACATCCACTCCTGCTGGGCAGAGAGGGGTTGGCATGGAGACAGGCTCACCTTCATGAGGGTGTGTCCTGGGCACAAGTCAACACTTTATGCTGTTGAAGTGGACAGTGACAACTGATTGATAACTCAGGTGGTTACAGCTAGGGACAGAGGCACACCTCTGTGACCTCAGCTCTTGGGAGACCAATGGGGCAGATCCCCTAGTTCACATCCAACCAGGATGCAAAGGAGTGAGATCCCATATTAAAGACAGATGTGAAGCCTTTGTCCTTTATGGACAGACAGAAGGAGGTGGCAGAAGAGGGCAGACAGACTGTCTCAAATGATGCCTTGCAAGGTGGTCACATCATGGGCGAGCATCTGAGAACCCACAGAACCGTTAGACCCTAAGTCTGAACTAGAAGCTAGCCGGGACCTTGCAGACAGCTCATTAAAATATCCAGCATGGACCAGTCACCTGGAACAAACCCAGCACAGCTGTGCTGAAACTGGTGCCTGCCATCTTCTGTATTTCGCTCACTTGCTCTTCATATTTTAATGAAGTGTGTGTGTGTGTGTGTGTGTGTGTGTGTGTGTGTGTATCTGTGTATGTGTGTCTGTGACTGTGTGTTCTGTTGTTAATAATCTATCAGACTATCAAAGGATTTTTCATTAATAACAGTTCAAGACTAATCGATATATTATATAGTCTCATTAGTTGTTGGCTGTGCTATAACAGTTCTTTGATAAAGATTATTAATATAGATTTATATTTCTTTAAATAGGGTCTTCAAGACTCTCTTAGTGTGGAAGGAGCTACCTTTGTCGCTTCTGCCCTGATTTTACAAGAACTCTGAAAAATTGGCTTTAGAAACAAAAGAGAAGGAATGGTAGCCCCCCAGAAGTGGTGCTCCTGAAATGCTCTCCATCATGCCTTGGTCACTTTTAACTCTCTAAAACTGAAAGCTCATGGGAAATCTGCTGCTGACTGCCTCTGGCACCATTACAAGGTCCCCTTCAATTACTGGAGGTCAGGCCTCTATCCCTGCCTTTGAAAGATTAGAATTGCCACAGCCCTTCTATACTTAGAGAAGGGAGGAGATGTCAGGGGCAGCCCTGATTACACACTGAAGGCCTAAAATCAGCCATAGACCTAAAATCAGCAATAGGCCTGTCATACATGTATACTAACACCAAGTCTTGGGTCTCAGTGGAAAAACATTGAAACAGATGGCTATAAGCTAATGTAAACAGGCAGCTTTTGTGGAAATTAACCAGCCCGAGTAGTCATAGACCTTGTAAATAGGTAGCCTTGGCAGACAATACCAACTTAGATAAGGACAAGTGAGTCATAGGCAGAGTTATAGTGACCTGTCCCCTGAACCTTCACCCAGCCGATACCCGGTTCTGAAAGATATCTGTATTCCCCCTGAACACCCACATTCCAGTGTCATTCCCTTCCCCACATCCTGCCTTTCTGTGTTTATAACCCCTGTGTGAATGAATTACGATTTCAGAAAAAAATAAATTATGTTTTAAAAATTTAAAAAAAAAAAAACAGTTCAAGAACAAGAAGGAAGAACAACAGAATCTATGTTTAGGATGCTTCCTGCCTCCTGGTCCACAGCTTGCTGTGATGAATGTTTGACAATCCAAAGAAATGCCTACAGGAAAAAAACCCAGAGTGTCAGGGAGCCCAGGAGACAGAGGTAGCAGGTGCAGAGTTCTGATTTGCATAGCCCCGCCCTTCCAGGAAAAGAGGAACCAGCTATGGATATAAGGGGCAGCTGACTCCTGAGGCAAGGCTGCAGTCAGCAAACATTCCTGGCCTCAGGATGGCAATGGATGAAAGCAGCACACCTATGGACTTCAGCACTCCTGTGGATGTCAGCCCTCCTGTGGGTCTCAGGACTCCTGTGGATCTCCGCAGCACTCCGGCTTGGGAGATGGACAAGTTCATAGAGGATCAACTTCTTCCTGACTCTACATTTCTTACTGAGGTCAGAGCAGACATCAAAGTCATAAGTGCTTTTCTGAAGGAGAGATGCTTCCAAGGTGCCGCCCACCATGTGAGGGTCTCCAGGGTTGTGTTGGTGAGTCCCATTAGCCTGAGCTGACCAGGATGGGGTGGGAGAAGACTCTCAGAAGTCAGATGGCAGTCCTTAGAGGAGAGTGAGTTACCTCCCTGCTCTATACCCAGTGTCCTCATGTACACCCCAGCTATGGCACAGGGCAGAGAACAGAACAGAGACCCCCCTACCTACTGGATGTCTTTACTGATGGAAATTCATTGCCCGAGTTTCCATCTGTCAAATGGACTTTATGATGACAATCCCTACCTCAGACTCTGTGAAAGCTGCAGGAATGTTGTTTTGTAAAGTCCACTCATTTATGTCAGGTGTGCAAGTGTGTTAGTGATTGTGCTCAGCATTTTATTTAGGGAGGATCTCTGCTTATCACTTATTATTTTCTCACATTTTTTCTTTTTCTGAATTCAATTTTCTTAAATTTAACATTTGCCCTGTGGTCATTTAGCATTGTTACAGACTTTCTTCTGGGACTGATGTTAGACATGGTCTATTCCTTTTAATACTCTAACAAGGGGGATCGTGACCACAGTTTAATATGTCTGTGGTGATTTACTCACTCTCCTCTGACGAAGTACCAGCCCACCACTTTGTACTTGAACCTGACCAGCCTCATAGAGTCCTGAGTCCTCTTCCATCTCTTGCCCCCAACCTCTCTCTCACACATACACACACACACATACATACACACACACACATGCTCTTTCTCTCTTTCTCTCCCTCTCTTAATTCCGGTTAGAAACAGATAAAACAAGGGTGTTCGTCATTCTGAGTCTGGCTTATCTCCTGCATCACAAGGAGATCCAGGACTATCTACTTTCCTACAGAGGTGCCAATTTCACTCTTCCGTGCTGAATAGAATTCCACTGCACATGCGTCAGGTTTCTCCATCCAAGGATCACTCTTGATGATGGACTCCTACTGTGTTCACATCTGGATTGCCCAGCATGGCTCTCCCTGCCCCTTGTCATCCTCATCTTTGTCTTTTAGGGTGGCTCCTACAACGAACACACTGCGCTCAAGGGCAGGTCAGAGGCCAACATGGTGGTGTTCTTTAACAATCTCATCAGCTTTGAGGAACAGGTACAGTGGCGTGGAGAGTTCCTTGAGGAAATTCAGAAACACCTGTGCCAGTTGCAACAAGAGAGACAATTTAAAGTGAAGTTTGAGATCCAGAACTCAGAACAGCCGGACTCCAGGTCTCTGAACTTCAAGCTGAGCTCCCCTGAGCTCCAGCAGGAGATAGAATTTGATGTGCAGCCAGCCTATGATGTCCTATGTAAGTCAGCCAGCAGCAGCCTCAGCCTGCCCTTCCCCATGCATGAACCCTCTCTTCTATTTCTCTGTGTCTGTCTGTCTCTCTCTCTCTCTCTCTCTCTCTCACTCTCTCTCTCTCTCTCTCTCTCTCACTCTCACTCTGTGTGTGTGTGTGTGTGTGTGGATTTCAGGGAGTATGTTCACATGTGTGCAGATGTCTGTGCACATGTTTGCATGTGTGTGTAATGCCCAGAGGCCAGCCTTGGATGTCGGATACTTGGGAGCCTATTTTAGTTGAGAGGTTGACCTGGAGTTTGCTGCCCCACCTTCGTGGCTCTTGCAGTAAGGAGATGGTGTCAGGTGTGCTGTGTGCTCTGATGGAGCTGAACCCACAATCTCTGGCACCTGGAGCCTCTGTGTGACTATTAGGTACAGTATAGGGCTGGGGAGAGGGATTGTGTATTCTAGAAGTGTCTGTAGGTTGTGAGTCTCCAGCTGTAAACAATTATACTCAGATGTACTCTGGACACACTTGGGGTTCCTTTCCCACTGGCTAGAGTTCAGGAAAGTTTTTTTTTCTTGTTTGTTTTGAGAAAGGTGAATGGGCCAGTTTCATGTCATCCTATCTAGTCAGACAGCCTGAGGGACTCTCCTGTCTCTACCTCCCCAGCACTGTGATGTCGGTGTGGACTCTCATGCCCCTCAACCACAGCTTTTAATGGGGATGCTCAGAATCTGCTTGGGGTCCTTGTACTTCTCTAAGAAGCCCTTTACCACAGAGCCATCTGCCCAGCCCCAGGGGCATCCAGAAAATGCCCTCATGGTGAACAGCTCTCTACATGACTGAGATTGGGAACTGTGTGTTTCTAAAAGTGGAATAAGAGATATAGCTAAAAATTAACATATGTTGCATCTACTATCAAAGAATGAGAAACCTCAGACCTATAAGGATGCCTAGGCTTCTGCGGATGGGTGGCGGGGTGCAGGATACAGAAATTCCCAAAGAATTCTTCCCCCCTCTAGACAACTAGATACCCAGCAAACACACCACAAAATCCCACAACACACGTGTTATGTAATTGCACACTGATGAATCTCTATATTAAGTTCTCTCACACTACACTTGACTGACACACAGTGTGTCTCCAAAATTACGAATTGTCAAATCTACCCAAGAGGACCAGGAACACCTATGAAAGACCAGTATTGGGGAGCTTGGAAAATACTTCTGGTTTTATAGTTCTGCTGGCCACTGTGTGAACTGCTGCTGTTAACTTAGTCAAGCCCTTGGTTTAGGAGAGCCATGGAAACTGGCCAGAGTCGCAGGCAGCAGGGACTGAGAGGGCCAGCCTAGGAGTAAGACCAGGACAGCCTGCTGTGAGAAGCTGCAAGAGGTTTAGAACCCTGCTTAGAGGGTGTGACCCAGAAGTGAGCTTGAGGGGTCTCCCCCAGAAGCCTGTGTTGCTCATGGACTTGCCCAGCCTCAGGCAGCTTTCCAGTGGGACAGGAACTCTATTGTAGAAGGACTGCCTTGGGAATGCTTGTGTGGATGACATCAAGAGGACCACAGCCCTAACCCAGGTGACTGAGCAAATGAGACCTATTGTGTGCAGGGTCCTGAAACAGTAACTAAGCCTTAGAGAACTTTCTGGATCACTGATGAAATAGACTTGTCCCAAGCTCCATCAGTGAGTGATTTGTGTATATGCCAGCATCAAAGCCTGACGCCTAATGGTGTAGCCTGCTGCAACCATGGCTACACACCTTCAGACACCAAAAGTGAAACCTAATCCCTGGATAGTCTGTTCAAATGTTCAAACACATCTGCACATAGCCATAGACACATCAGTTTCATAGCCTGCTCCCTGTCATTGTAAAAGATCACAGGACACACAGACAACAACAACAACAACAAACATATCCTGAAGCTCTCAGGAACTGGACAGTCAACACCACATGGCATTAAGTTAGGCACTACAGAGATTTGTGCACTGCAAACCCACAGTCCCTGGGGAGACAGTGCAGTGGATAAGGGTGACTGCTATACAAACATGAGGTCCTGAGTTCAAATCCCCAATGCCCACCTAAGATTAGGAAGTGGTACACATTGACCTGTATCCCTAGAACTATAGAGACAGAGGCAGGAGAATCTCTGGGGCCTGATGGATGCCAGTCAAGCTCCATGTTCACAGAGAGACCCTGCTGCAAAGGGAAGGGGTGACAAACTATAGACACCCCATATCCTCTTGTGCCCTCTGAATATGTGTGTTTGCCACATCCATGCACACACAATCCACCCATCATCTCAAAATAGCACAGAGACTGTACACACACGATAAGATAGACAACTGAGGTAGAGTGCTCCAGGGTACACCAGCACACAGTTGGCCATTATCAGATGACCGTGTAGCTCTCTTGTGAGTGACCACACTGTGTTGTTTCCTCCAGGCCTGGGAGTAAGGCATCCTACTAGGAGCAGTTGGTGACACAGACTTTCCAGGACCAATTCATGTACACAGTCCAGAGGTGTGGTGGGCTCATGTGTCTAAGGGGAGTGATCCTTGCTGTGGACAAATTCTACCCTATTCACTGAACCCCATAGAGAGTGACTGAGACCCTAGAGAGAAGGAAGATCCTCAGAGCAGGGATGAGTCTGAACATGAGATACTTTCTTATAGATGAACTGAGAGACAACAAGTTTGCTGAACCCAAATTATACAACCAAATCTACACCCAACTCATCCATGAGTGCACCACCCTGGAGAAGGAGGGTGAATTCTCCATCTGCTTCATAGAGCTCCAGCAAAACTTCCTGGAGTATCGTTCACCCAATCTGAGGAATCTCATCCGTCTGGTCAAGCACTGGTATCAACTGGTAAGGCATCTGACCCTGACACTCTGGACCCTATGTGTAGAGAATGTGGCTATAGGTCCGAGAAGAGGTCTATTCTAGCTTGCTGTCTATTGACAGGATAGCCTTATCACATGACCAACAGTGCCCTGGGAAGGAAAGGTCTTACTTTGCTACACATTCCAGTGACAGCGTATCTCTGAGGGAAGTCAGCACAGTGACTGAAGCAGAGAGCAGGGAGGAATTCTGCTCACTGCCTTCATCTCCATGGCTCAGTCAGATTGCTTTATTATACAGTGCAGACACTCAGGCATGGCACCAACCACATCCATCACTGATCAGGATCGTGTCCCCACAGACTGCCCTGAACCAGACTGATTGAGGGACTGTCTTGATGAAGGCTGCCTCCTGCTCAGTTACCCTAGCTTCTGTCTAGTTGACAAAAACTCACTTTCACAAATCACCCACTTTCAAATGGATGCTCACACATACACACCTCTCTAGAACCATAACCTTTCCTTTCTTGACTTTTTTCTAAGACATCATTTCAGTATCTTGTCATAAAACACAATCTAGAGTTAGGAATCTAAAAGGTTTTTTTTTTTGAAATTTCAATATATAACAAGATAGTCTCTCAAGATGCACTTAAATAAAATTTACAAAACTAATTAAATTCATTCTTCCTTCAAGAGGTCACTGTCATAATCAGATCAAAAAACAACCAAACCCCAACAGAACCAAAATCTCAGTATCTGATATGTGGGACTCACAGTTCTCTGAGTTTCTCAGGCTCTGCCATCCACAGCACCCACAGCTGGTCTCAGGCTCAGGTCAGCTCTGTTCTCACATTGCTCAGTTCCTGGCAGTCGTCCCCTGCTCAGGACAACTCCAGTGTCTCAGGGTCTCCACTGCCATTGAGACTGCACTTTCACCAATGGCTTCTCCTGGCCTCTCCCAGTGCCAGGCCTCAACTGCTCTCCATGACCCCTCCAAACCTCGGGGTTTCATGTTAGCAAATCTTACCACCTGGGAGATTTCTCTGCAGTTCCAGGTGTGACCTGCAAGCTGGAGATGCAGCTTGGGACCACAGCTGCCATTTGATGACCATAAGGAAACTCTTTTCAGATGGTTCTGCCCTCATGGTGCATGTCTCTTCATCATCAGAACTAACCTCAGCTGCAGCTGATGAGAAACGCCCGATTCTTCATGCACCACTATTCCACATCTGCTGTTTAATTTGTGTCTCTGCATGTCTACTTCCTTCTTCACCAAACCCTTCACGTCATTTTCTATGCCTTCTATTTTCCTGTCCTTTCCAGATATTATCTCTTTCAGTGGGTGATTTTTCAGAATTTTTTTCTGGACTACTTTTTAAATGTATGTGTGGTATTTGTGTGTAGAGGGGCACCCTGATGTTTAAGTCTGCTTCCCTAATTGGTTCTTGATTTGGACAATAAAGAAGGTGGGAACCAATTGCTGGGCAAAGGTTACAGTTGGTACTTCCATGGAGATAAAAGAGATGAGAGGAAAGAGAAAGGTCTTTCTGGCTAGGCTTTGAAACGGGAAGCACACAACAACCAGGTAAGATCTTGGGCTAGCTAAAACTGGCTGCCTCATCTTGTGGTGGGTGGCTGATCTAGGCTGGCTGTTAAGGTTAAGGCAGGAGATTCTGCACCCAGCCATTGTTATCTGGCAATTTCAAAGAGAATAAGCTGTCTAAGTGTTCTTCTGAAGAGCAGAGTTGGGCAGAAAGAGAGAAGCCATGTCCTTGATGGCTGGGAGGGGCTGGGAGCACCATCGCTATACTGGGAAAGACTGTAGCTGGCCATTGGCAAAGGTAATCAGGGAAGACCAGACAAACTGATAGTGGGGCCAGCTGCGGCTGATTTCTGAACAAAGCAGGAAGCAGGGCCATAGTCCTGGGAAGGGTAGAAGTGTGTTTTTAAAATTACACACAGCATGTACCTGTTCATGGGAGCACATGTCTTTGTGTGTGCTTGTGTGTGCATAAGGATGTGAAGGTCAGAGCGTGAGGGCGGATCCTCAGTCACGCCCCACCTTGTGTAATCAGTCAGGGTCTCACACATGACACTCAGTGTGCTGGATCAGCAGGTCTGTAGAGTCCTGAGCCCCTGGAAGCCCCACCTCCAGCACTTTGAGCTAGAATTGTGGATCAGCATCCTCAAGAGCCTGACACTCATGTAGATGCTGGGGTCTCACCTCTAGTTCTCACCCCTGCACAGGGAGGGAGACACTTCACCCCTGAGCCATTTCCCTGGCCCCTTTCATGATACTTCAGAGACCATGAGAAACTTCCATAGTGAACACTCCTTATGTCCTGCCCCCACCCTCACTCCTAGCTGTCACTCACGGTGTCTTGATTCCTCCTGTGCCTGCTTGTAAATGCTGTCTTTGTGGCGCACACAGGGTCCATCTGAACTAATCAGCTCTTGGTTATAGCACAGGATGGGCCAGAGACTGAATTTAAATGACTGGGAGTGAAATGACAACATCAGGTGGCAGCTGAATTGAGCCTATGTGAAGTGGCCTCCACCCAACAGCTGAGAGCCCCATTTTTCACATTGCCTTTCTCTTCTCAGTGTAAGGAGAAGCTGAGGAAGCCACTGCCCCCACAGTACGCCCTGGAGCTGCTCACAGTCTATGTCTGGGAACATACGGATGAAGATCAACATGAAACAGCCACAGCCAAGAGATTCCGGACCATCTTAGAACTGGTCGTCGATTACAAGTTTCTTTTAATCTACTGGACATGGTATTATGACTTTCATCCTCAAGAGGTATCTGACTACCTGAACAGACAGATTCAAAGAGACAGGTATCTTGTCTGAGCATGGCTCTGCTCCCCATGCCTGTCAGGCTGCAATCCTGTGGAAAGGGGGAGATGGGAGATCTGTGTCACGGCAGCATGTCCTGCACTGGGCATTGTCACCTGAATGACGTGAAGCTCTAATGCCCTGGGAACTGGGGGGAGGGGAGGGAGGGTGTTTATCTTGTCTGTGATGAGGACACCAAGGCTCTGACATTGTCCAGACCCAAAACAGCAAAGGCAGGGGAGGACATGGAGTGGGAACTGAGATCATCCAACAGTTACAGCCTCATAAGTTCTGTGAGGCACCAAAGGCCAGATATGGACCAATTACCTGTAAATAATAGAGTGCTATGTCACCCTAGGGAGTCACATGTCTTCATCCTGTGTTTGTTCAGTTTTCCCATGAGACGGGCTGGTCCAACTCTCCTCATCTCATAGATCAGAGAACCTGAGGGAGCTGCCCCAGGACACACAGCTACTAAGGGTAGACGTTTCAAACCTAGGCCTTCCAGATCACACCCAAGGATCTCTCCAGTCTTGCTGTATGCTGTGAGGCAGGGACTTGGCCAAACTTTAGATAGGGATGCTCTCCTGGGCTCCTCCTCTGTCCCTGTGAAGTGATACCTGAGGCACTGGCCAGCTGCTAAATTCCCTCCCTGAATGTTGCTCTGCAGAAGGCCCGTGATCCTGGATCCAACAGACCCTACAAGGAACGTGGCTGGTTCAAACTTAGAGGGCTGGAATCTTTTGGCAAAAGAGGCAGAATCCTGGATGTATTTCCATTGCTTTAAGTACCGTGATATGTCCTTGATGCCCACTTGTGATTTCTCGGTGAGATGCCACCCTTTCCCCTTCACACAGCTTTGATCACTCCATCTACCTGGAGAGTATTCTCAAGGAGATGTGATCTTTTTCTAAAGATCTCCACAGTCCTGTGGAGGCCAGCAGCTTGCCTTCTTTTACAACCATTTTTGTCACATTCAGAGATATTATGGGCTGGCGGGAAGGCTCGGTGTATAAAGATACTGACAACTCTGAAGACCTGAGTTTGATCCCTAGAACCCATATGGGAGAAGGAGAAAAACAAATCCTCCAAGTTGTCCTGTGGCCTTCATCTCTGTGCTGTTACACATCTGGACATGTACACACACATATTCACAGAAACTCACACAATACACACTCATGCACACATTTACACAAACTCAAACACTCACATGTACATGCAAAAACACATTCACCCAAAACACACACTGACACAGTCATACACACACTGACACACATGGAGAGAATGAATGTAAAGGAGATTCAGAACTAAGGCTGCTGGCTAAAGGACGCTCATGTAGCGATTGGTGGGGCTGGGATCCCGTGGACTCTGAAGCCACTGTCAGGTCCATGAAGCAGCCTGTCTTCCCTGTCTCATTGTCTCGTGACCAATGGGACCCAGCGGGGCTGTGTCACAGCCACAGAGGGACCTGCACTTGGACGTCTCCCCTCCTGGGGCAGGGTCTGCCTGATGCTAGGGAACTGATGATGTCACATGTGACCTCAGTGTGGGGATGAACATGGGTGCAGGGATGTGGGAAAGAAATCTCAGGAGATCAGGAAGGAAGTGAGAGGGGACCTGGAGGGAGGCAGCTGTGGGAACAGTGGCCTGTAGTGCTGTCCTGCAGCAGAGAGGTGGAGAGGACATGTCTCTCCTTTGGCAGATCTGTTAATGTAGGTCCTTCCTGTGGGGCTATGTACCTGCAGAGGACATAGTTACAAAGGTGCCCTGATGGTTATCTTTTGAACCTCTGTGTGTGCTGTCCCTCTTTCTAAGACCTCCATGTTTACAGTCATGATACCCACCCTCAGGGCTGAAAAACAGGCCCCTTCTGGAAGCAATGCAGGCTCCTGACATGATTGTATGCTTTTCATTGCAGCCAAAGAAACAAAGATGTGTCCTCTTGTGAGCACCATAGCACTTGGTCAGGAGGCTCTGGAGTCAGAGGCCTGTGCTCCTCTGCTGCAAGACCTTGACCCAGAGAGGACTGGATGCTGCTCTAGGCTCCAGTGAGGGGCATCCAGCCTGTCACCAGACTCCAGGCTTCTGATCCCTGCCGGCCCATGGACAGCATCCTCACAGCCTGTGTCATCTGCCTTATCCTCCAGCCGTGCTCTCTGGGAGTCAGACTCTGAAGGAAAGAGAACTCAAGCTTGACGTCCATCTGTCCAGCTGTTGGGAAGCTCCATCTGACACTGCCTGATCAGCAATAGGAAACTACAGTAACTCAGGAGGGTGTGTGCACTCTGAGGGAAGGAACCATCAAGCACACATGTGTGCGTGAGGAAGTGCTGTGTCTATGCTCCCCTAGAAACCGTGAGCACTTGTTACAAGCTCCCCATGGGCCCTGGTAACTGCCAACCAGCAGTGGACAGAGCAGAACCCAACTTCTACACATTTTGATGTCTGGTGTTTTGGGATCCTTCCAGATGTCTTATACAAGGAACAAAGTCAGGAATCCTTGGCTCCTTCTGTCCATGCTCCCCTGACATGATTCTAGACCTTCCCCATCCCACACAGAAACTGTTCACCAGCTGCCCATGGCCCTGAAGCCCTGGAAATCCGGCCAGAGTGCATCGAGGGGCACTGATTCTGCAGGATGCAGGCTGAGGACCACGGCAGTGCGGGAAAATAAGACTGCATGCCGTCTGTGACCAAGGATGACTTTAAAACTTAGTTGTCTGTTTGAAGTTGAGATTTGAAGCACTGAATTAAATCATAATGCACCAACTGAAACTCAGAACTAGTTTATTATCTCTCCTTCCTCCCTTTCTTAATTTCGGTCTTTGTATATTTCATTCATCTTTTTTTAATCTTCCTTTTACTGGATCTTATTGTCTGTCTAGCCTGGAATTCACAGAACTTCACATAGCTCGGGGTCTCAAGTTCTGGAATTACACACACACACCCACACACATACACACACACACACACACATACACACACACACACACATACACACACACATACACACACACACACACACACACAGACATGCACACACACACACACACACACACACACACAGACATACACACACACACACACACATACACTGTCACCACATTCACACAGACCTAATGGTTCCATAGGTCAGTTGCTGACCCACGTCTTGTGAATACATAGACACATTAACCACAAAAGACCCATACATGCTCTGTCCGCTTAGGCTGATGCTCACTAAGAAGGTAGGAAACTGCTCAAGGTCACCAGCTTCCAAGCCCTGCTCCTGTCCCCACACCCTACTCCTGACCCAGTGTCCTCTCTCAATCTCTGTGAGAAGGAAGGGTGGGTCTCCCTGGTCCCCAGTCCTTCAGTTCTCTATCAGCCCTGAGGTCCAGGAGGCCTAACGCCCATGGGTGTTAGAAGATGCAGATCCCCTGGACCACAGACTCTTCACACTCTGCCTGGTGCTCTACCTGAGCCTTCGGTGGACGTGGTAATACTCGTCTATGATTCCAGTCTTGCCCCTTCTGAAACAGCTGCAGATCCACAGAGTTTTAATAAACCATGGCCATGGGTCTCCTGCCAAGCTGAGGACACATCCTTGTAGCAACCTGTTCGGGTCAGTCAGTAGTGTCTCTAACACAGGAGTGAGGATGTACACTTCTCATTCCCGCTGTGTCCTTCACTGTATCCCACTTACTGGAGCTCCAACATTGAGGCGCCACTTTGTAGCCACCAGAGCTCCCTCACTTTGGGGGGGGGGGGGAAGTGGCCACTTTGTAACAGCCTGTTCTGCTGCTCCAGTCCACGAGTCAGGGCCTAGCAAGAGAGAGAGTGGGGACGGAGACGCAAAGAATGGAGACAAGACGGAGTCTGATCAAGTCTCTCCAAGTGTCTTTTATTGCAAGGAAATCCTGGGTATTTATACCCTTTACCATGTGCCTTGCCCTCGGGTACAAGCTGAACTGAAGGCACTACATCATGTGCCTTGCAGCGTGGATATCACGTGTACCTACCTAGCAGTGAGGAGACCACATGCACCTTGCAGCTGGTGGCACTAAACAGCAAAACAAGATATGTGAGAAAAACAAGATGTTTATCAGAGTGTGCTCAGTTGTTGCGGGCTGTTGAAAACAAGTCTCGTGTCAAGGTATATGGCCTGAGATGGCTGCAAAGATGATAGCCGCTTTCGGCTAGGAGTTGGCTCCCAACACATCGTGTCCTCACTAAGACTCCCATGTAAGTCCTTCTGTCTTCTCCAGCCTCGTCAGTACTCAACGCTGGACACTAGCTTCCTATTGGACCAATCCCTGCTCTTCTTGGGCTTGGTTCTCCCTTCAGGTCTGCCATGTAGTGGCTCCCTCATGCCAAGTAGGAAGACACAGACCACAGTTCCCCTCCTCCTGTTCCTGACTTCCTCTCCAAGCAGGACACAGGTGACACCCAGGTACCTCCAGAGGAGCCCTGAAACCACATCCTTTGTCCCAGACCCTGCCCTGCCCTTCCAGTCTGGCTTGTACCTGCAATCTCAAGCCCCAAAGGGTAACACTGACTGTCCTTGTGCCTTGTATGGCCCTGCTTGTGTTTTGATGACATCTGGACACCACTGGCAAAGAGAAGCAGAACCTGGGAAATACTTTGCACCTGGGACACACTTTGGTCATCAGGATGTTCCATGCCTGAGGCGTGTGGCATCCTCTCATGATGGGATCAATGACAGAGTGTGGTGGGAGGAGAGAGGCTGAGACTGGGCAGCTCCAGCCAGCAGAAGGCACAGGTGGAGGCAGAGTCTTCTGTGACACTGGAAAGGTCCCACCTGCTGATGTCTGGACTTGGGGTTTCTCACCCAGAGTTCTTTAAACCCTGTTGTCAGGATACCATGGGCAAAACCACACAGTTTGTCCTTGCTGCCACATGGGATAAACTCAGCTACTTTGTCTTCTCAGTGACTCTGGGTCTGTCTCCCACACTCAATCTGCTTCTCTTGTTTCTGTTTCTTCTGGTTTTTGTTCCCACCTCTGGGTCTTTGCAGAGTCTGTGCCCAGCACCTTACATGCTGTTCTACTTCTCTGATTGGCTGGAGGCCCTGAGTTCTTCTGTCCTGGGCTAAAAGGTCCCTGCCTCAGGGAGCAACTCAGGATCCCTTTCCAGAGTCCCAGGCAGAGTAAGCTGCCCTCCCACCCGTCCCATAGAGTCTTATAAGCAGAACTTCCTGAGAAAGGGGAGAAAGATCAAGAAGGAAAGCCACCTGGGTGTCAAAGACTCTACAAGGCTGACTAACCAATTAGAACTTAGTGATGGAGAGCTGGAATGTTGCCAAGCCAGAGCAGAATCATCAATTACCCTGGGATCCCTTCAGCACATTTAACAGGCACTCATTGGCCACCATTATGTTACCCATCAGGGAGCCCTGCCAAGAAGGACTGGCCTGGCTAGATCTGCCTGTGGGTGCACTGGTGGCAGGGAGGTTATGGGGAATGACTGGATACTTTCTCACTGGATTTGAGGACCACTCCACAGGAGGACGCTCCATCCTGTTCCTGCACATCTGGTGGGAAACCCACTGCTGGGCGATCACAGGCCCCGGGGATGAACCCACCTCAGCGATTTTGATGTGGACAGAAAGTCAGACTGGTCCTTACATCTTCATACTCATATTATGTAGGCATCCCTCGTCTGAAGTTCCTGCTTCTCAGAGGATTCTACCTTGAGTCTAGTTGGCATTAAACCAGCCGGGACAGAGTCAGTTTCCCTTAGGTGTGGTCCCTGGCAGATTGTCCACATCCAGTGGTTTGGCCTCACACCTGTGTGAGTGTGAGAAGCACTGATGTATCCAGTGCTTTATTCATTAAGAGTCACACTAAATCAGGCTGGGGGGCCTTACATGGGATGAAAGGGGGGTTAATTTGATCAGGATATATTGAATGTATATTCTGATAATTACAAAGAATATTTTACAAAATGTCCAGGAGGATACTTAATTCCACTATATTTTGCCTTTTCAAGAGGCACAAACGCTTCTGCAGACCTAGTCAGTTCCCCCAAGGTGACTCCAGGGATATCATGTCCCCAGCCACTGCTGGACATGTGGCCAAGAGGGCAGATCCTGGTATTACACCCTGTGACCTGGACACTCTGGCTCAGTCAGACTTGCCTTGGATTTTGACCTCGTTGGGATGAGTGACACTTGATCAGATGCACCGGAGAGCATGGAAGCAGTATAGATCAGCTGGGCACAGTAACACACTGTAATGCCAGCAACAGGTGCTGAGGCAGGAGGATTGCTGTAAGTGGACTCACAGTCACCCTATAACAGAGGTCTGACTCATAAATGAAAACAAAAAGGGTCACTGAGCTAGCTCAGAGGGAGTAGATGTTTGTCACCAAGCCTGGTGGCCTCAGTTTGGTCCCTGGGACCAACGTGTTGGAATGAGAGAGAGCCGACTCCCCCAAGTCCTCTGACTTCACATGCTCGCACACATGAAATAAATGGAATAGAATATTTAAAGCCTAATTAGCCTGTCCCTCCACAGATCTGCTCAAGACCCTCAGCTGGTCTCTTGTCCTCCCATCCTGGTACTTGTGGGAGGGGCCTTCATAATCCCAGTTACCTCAGGCAAGGTCAGGGTCCACCGTGGAGCCTCTGTTATCAGCCAGGCCATGAAGACTTTCTTATTTGCTAAAGGCTGGCCTCTGACCTGAATGTCAAGGCCTTGGCTTCTGCTTATCCAAAAAGAAAACCCTTAAAGCCACCTATAACTTGTGCTATCTGAGTTAGGGTTTACCCCTGTGAAGAGACACCCTGACCAAAGCAGCTCTTATAAGGACAACATTTGATTGGGGCTGGCTTACAGGTTCAGAGGTTCAGTCCATTATCATCAAAGTGAGAGCATGGCAGCATCCAGGCAGACATGGGGCAGGAGGAGCTGAGAGTCCTACATCTTCATCTGAAGGCTGCTGGCAGAAGACTGTCCCCCAGGCAGTTAGGACAAGGGTCTTAAAACCCACAGTGACACACCTACTCCAACAATGCCACAGCTAATCCAACAATGCCACACACCTCCCAAGAGTACCACTCTCTAGGACAAGCATATACAAACCATCACATGAGACAATAAACATGGGAGAGCCAAAGTGGTTATAATTTGCTCACCCTTCTGTTCCTTGATGTCTGTAGCAATTGAAACAGTAATTTAGGTGTGTGGGGTGTGTGTGATGTAACTGTGTGTGTGTGTGTGTGTGTGTGTGTGTGTGTGTAAAAATGAGTGTGGGAGGGGCTTCTTTTTACTGTTTTATGAGACAAAGTCACATCATTTAGTCCAGGCTGACCTAGAACCCTGTACCTTCCGTATTAACCTCCCAGGACTTGGGATCACAGGTGTGGAGCATCCTGCCATGATGAACATCCACTCCTACTGGGCAGGGAGAGGTTGGCATGGAGACAGGCTCACCTTCATGAGGGTGTGTCCTAGGCACAAGTCAACACTTTATGCGATTGAAGTGAAGAATGGCAATTGATTGATAACCCAAGTGGTTACAGTTAAGGACAGAGGCACACCCCTGTGACCTCAGCACTTGGGAGGCCAATGGGGCAGATCCCCAAGTTCACATCCACCCAGTGCAAAGGAGTGAGATCCCATATTAAAGACAGATGTGAAGCCTTTGTCCTGTATGGATTGACAGGATGAGGTGGGGGTAGAGGGCAGAGAGACTGTCTCACATGATGCATTGGATGGTGGTCACATCATGGGTGTGCATCTGAGAACCCACAGAACAGTGAGACCCTAAGTCTGAACTAGAAGCTGGCATTAACCTTGCAGACAGCTCATTACAATATCCAGAATGGACCAGTCACCTGGAACAAACCCAGCACAGCTGTGCAGAAACTGGTGCCTGCCTTCTTCTGGATTTCGCTCATTTGCTCTTCATGTTTTACTGAAGTCTCTCTCTCTCTCTCTCTCTCTCTCTCTCTGTGTGTGTGTGTGTGTGTGTGTGTGTGTGTGTGTGTGTGTTTGTGTTGTTAACAATCTAGCAGACTATCAAAGGATGTTTCTTTAGTAACAGTTCAAGATCAAGAAGGAAGAACAACAGAATCTGTTTAGGATGCTTCCTGCCTCCTGGTCCATAGCCTGCTGTGAGGAGGGTTTGACAATCCAAAGAAATGCCTGCAGGAAAACAAAACAAAACCAAACAAAAAACAAAAACCAGAGTGTCAGGGAGCCCAGGAGCCAGAGGTGACAGGTGCAAAGGTCTGATTTGCATACCCCCGCCCTTCCAGAGAAGAGGAACCAGCTATGGTTATAAGGGGCAGCTGACTCCTGAGGCAAGGCTGCAGCCAGCAAACGATTTTGGTCTCAGGATGTCGAAGGAACTCCGTAGAACCCCAATCTGGAAACTGAATAAGTTTATAGAAGATCACATCCTTCCCGACTCTACATTTCTTACTGAGGTCAAAGCAGACATCGAAGTCATAAGTGCTTTCCTGCAGGAGAGATGCTTCCAAGGTGCCGCCCACCCCGTGAGGGTCTCCAGGGTAATGATGGTGAGTCTCTTTAGCCTGAGCTGACCAGGACTGGGTGGGAGAGGACTCTCAGAAGCCAGACTGCAGTCCTTAGAGGAGAGTGAGTTACCTCCCTGCTCTGTGCCCAGTGTCCTCATGTACACCCCAGCTATGGCACAGGGCAGAGAGCATTACAGAGACCCCACTTGCTGGATGACTGGACTGATGAAAATTCATTGCCCGTGTTTCCATCTGTCAAATGGGACTTTATGATGACAGGTAGGACTCAGTCACTGTTAAGGCTGAAGAAATGTTGTTTTGTAAAGTCCACTCATCTATGTCAGGGGTGTGAGTGTGTTAGTGATTGTGCTCAGCATTTTATTTAGGGAGGCTCTCTGCTTATCACTTGTTACTATTTTCTCAATTTTTTGTGCTTTTGTTTTCTTAATTTTGACATTTTCTCTGTAGCCTCTTAGTATTGCTACAGACTTTCTTTCTGCTGTCATGGTGGCCATGGTTTATTCTTTTTAATACTCTGCTAGCAAGGGGAATCGTGACAACAGTTTAATATGTCTGTGGTAATTATCTCAGTCTCCTCTCACACACTACCATCCCATGCCCTTGTACTTGAACCTGCCTCAGAGCATCTCCTAACATTAGCATCACAGACAGACAGACACACACACACACACACACACACACAACTCTGGATAGAAATAGATAAAACAAGGGTGTTCATCATTCTGAGTCTGGCTTATCTCCGGTATCACAAGGAGATCCAGGACTCTCTACTTTCCTACAGAGATTCCAATTTCACTCTTCCGTACTGAATAGAATTCCACTGCAAGTGGGTCTGCTTTCTCCATTCAAGGATCACTCTTGGTGATGGACTCCTACTCTGTTCACATCTGGATTACCCAGCATGGGTCTCCCTGCCCCTTGTCATCCTCATCTTTGTCTTTTAGGGCGGCTCCTATGACGAACACACTGCGCTCAAGGGCAGGTCAGAGGCCAACATGGTGGTGTTCTTTAGCAATCTCACCAGCTTTGAGGATCAGTTAAAGTGGCGTGGAGAGTTCCTTGAGGAAATTCAGAAACACCTGTGCCAGTTGCAACAAGAGAGACAATTTAAAGTGAAGTTTGAGATCCAGAGCTCAGAACAGCAGGACTGCAGGTCTCTGAGCTTCAAGCTGAGCTCCCCTGAGCTCCAGCAGAAGATGGAATTTGATGTGCAGCCAGCCTATGATGTCCTGTGTAAGTCAGCCAGCAGCAGCCTCAGCCTGCCCTTCCCCATGCATGAACCCTCTCTTCTATTTCTCTGTGTCTGTGTCTGTGTATCTGTGTTTCTCTCTCTCTCTCTCTCTCTCTCTCTCTCTCTCTCTCTCTCTCTCTCTTTCTCTTTCTCTTTGTGTGTGTGTGTGTCGTGGGGAATATGTTCACGTGTGTGCAGATGTCTGTGCACATGTTTGCATGCGTGTGTAATGGCCAGAGGTCAGCCTTGGATGTCGGATACTTGGGAGCCTATTTTAGTTGAGAGGTTGACCTGGAGTTTGCTGCCCCACCTTCATGGCTCTTGCACTAAGGAGCTGGGGTCAGGTGTGGTGTGTGCTCTGATGGAGCTGAACCCACAATCTCTGGCACCTGGAGACTCAGGCTATCAATTAGGGACAGCACAGGGCTGGTGGGAGTGGCTGTGCATTCTCCTAGAAGTGTCTGTAGGTTATGAGTCTCCAGCTGTAAACAATTATACTCAGATGTATTCAGGACACACTGGGCTCTCTCCACCTACAAAAGCCAGGCAAGTTTACTTGCATGTTTGTTTTGAGAAAGGTGGATCGGCCAGCTTCATGTCAACCTATCTGGTCAGACAGTGAGCCTGAGGGATTCTCTGGTCCCTATCTGCCCAGCGCTGGGATTTCACGTGTCAGCTGCTCACACACACACCCCAAACCCCCACATGCACTCACATGTTATACAACTACACATTAATAATCCTCTCGATTAAGATCTCTTGATACCAGGCCTGACTGACACACAGTGTGTCTCTAAAATTCCAAATTGCCCAACTCGACCCAAAGAAAACCAGGAACACCCATGGGGGAAAAAACTGTATGGGCTTAGGGAGTTTGGGTAATACTTGAGGTTCTATAGTTAGTGGGAGCACAGCACCCCCTGCTGGCCACTGGTAGAACTGCTGCTATTGACTCAGATACAAGGCAGGCCACTAGTCCTTCCGTGACTTAGAGAAATGGAAACAGTCCAGAGTCTCATTGAACAGGGACTAAGAAGGCCAGCCTGGGAGTAGGACCAGGGCAGCCTGCTGTGGGAAGCTGCAAGAGGCTTAGAACTTTTCTCAGTGGCGGGGCTCAGAGGGGGTGATCCAGAAATGAGCTGGGAGGGGGCTCCCCCAGAAGCCTGTGTTGCTCATGGACTTGCCCAGCCTGAGGCAGCTTTCCAGTGGGACAGGAACTCTATCGTAGAACGACTGCCTTGGGAATGCTTGTGTGGATGACATCAAGAGGACCACAGCCCTAACTCAGGTGGCTTAGCAAATGAGACCTACTATGTGCTGGTCCTGAAATAGTAAATATGTTCTTCAGAACTTTATGGAACAGTGGGGTACTAGGCTCGTCCAAAGTTCCATCTGTGAGTGATTTAGGTCTGTGGGAGTATCAAAGCCTGATGGTGTGGCCTGCTGCAACCATGGCCACACACCTGCAGACACCTAAGACACTGGCTCATGCCTCAAAGTGCATACACACCCACAAATAGCTACACACACATCAATTCCACAGCCTGCTCCCTGCCCACAGTAAAAGTGTGTGGGACACACAGACACCGCCACCATCATCATATCCTGAAGCTCTCTGACTTGGTCAATCAACACCACATGACACTGAGGCACAACCAAGATTTGTGCACTGCAGACACACAGTAATTGGAGAGACAGCTCAGTGGTTAAGGGTGACTGCTACACAAGCATGAGGACACGAGTTCAAATCCCCAATGCCCACCTAAGCTTAGAAAGTGCCACACATTGACCTGTATCCCTAGAACTATGGGAGCAGAGACAGGAGAATCTCTGGGGCCTGATGGATGGCAGTCAAGCTCCATGTTCACAGAGAGACCCTGCTGCAAAGGGAGGGGTGACAGACTATAAAGGAAGACACCCCATCTCCTCTTGTGGTCTCTATATATGTGTGTTTGCCCTATCCATGCTCACACAATCCACTCATCATCTCAAAATAGCACAGAGACTGTACACACAGGATAGACAACTACAGTAGAGTGCTCCATGGTAAACCAGCACACAGTTGGCCATTATGAGATGACCGTGTAGCTCTCTTGTGAGTGACCACAGTGTGCTGTTTTCCTCCAGGCCTGGGAGTAAGGCATCCTATTAGGAGCAGTTGGTGGCACAGACTTTCCAGGACCAATTCTTGTACACAGTCAAGAGGTGTGGTAGGCTCATGTCTCTATGGGGAGTGAGGCTTGCTACAGACAAACTTGGCAGTGTTCACTGAACCCCATGATTGTGACCCTAGAGAGAAGGAAGATCCTCAGAGCAAGGTTGAGTCTAAGCATGACTGAAACGTCCTTTGTAGATGAACTGAGAAACTACAAGCACCTTGAACGTGATGCCTACAACGAATTCTACGCCCGACTCATCCGTGAGTGCACCACCCTGAACAAGGAGGGCGAGTTCTCCATGTGCTTCATAGATCTCCATGAAAAGTTCATGAGGGATCGTCCACCCGAGCTGTGGAATGCCATTCGTCTGGTCAAGCACTGGTATCAACTGGTAAGGCATCTGACCCTGACACTCTGGACCCTATGTGTAGAGAATGTGGCTACAGGTCCGAGAAGAGGTCTATTCTAGCTTGCTGTCTATTGACATGATAGCCTTATCACATGACCAACAGTGCCTTGGGAAGGAAAGGTCTGTCTTGGCTACACATCCCAGTGACAGCGCATCTCTGAGGGAAGTCAGCACAGTGACTGAAGCAGAGAGCAGGGAGGAATTCTGCTCACTGCCTTCATCTCCATGGCTCAGTCAGATTGCTTTATTATACAGTGCAGACGCTCAGGCATGGCACCAACCACATCCATCACTGATCAGGATCGTGTCCCCACAGACTGCCCTGAACCAGACTGATTGAGGGATTGTCTTCATTAAGGCTGCCTCCTGCTCAATAACCCTAGCTTCTGTCTAGTTGGCAAAAACTCACCTTCACAAATAACCCATTTTCAAATAGATGCTCACACATACACACCTCTCTAGAACCATAGCCATCTCTTTCTTGACTTTTTGCAAAGATATGATTTCAATATCATGCCATAAAACACAATCTAGCCTTAGGAATCTAAAATGGTTCTTTTTTTTGAAATTTCAATATATAACAAAATTAGTCGCTCAAGGATGCACTCATATAAAATTTAAAACACTAGTTAAATTCATTCTTCCTTCAAGAGGTCACTGTCACAATCAGATCAAAAGCAATGAAACCTCAACAGAGCCAAAACCTCAGTTATCTGATATCTGGAACTCACGGTTCTCTGAGCTTCTTGGGCTCTGCCATCCACAGCACACACAGCTGGTCTCAGGCTCAGGTCAGCTGTGTTCTCATATTGCTCTGTTCCTGGCAGTCGTCCCCTGCTCAGGGCGAGTCCAGTCTCTCGGGGTCTCCACCGCCATGGAGACTGCACTTTCACCAATGGCTTCTCCTGGCCTCTCCCAGTGCCAGGCCTCAGCCTCTTTCCAAGGCCCCTTCAGTCCTACAGGTTTCATGGGACTTGTGACCTGAGAGACCTCTCTGCAGTCCAGGTGTGGCTGACACCTGGAGATGCAGTCGTGGGACCCCTGGACCATGGCTTCTGTTTGCTGACATGAGGAAACCCTTCCTAGAAGCCTTGGCCCCATCCTGCTGTTCTCTACTTAATCTGAGCAGATTTTCAGCTCCAGCTGATGAGAAACCCCTGATTCTTCATGCAAACATAGCACACAAGCAGCCCAGATGGGGTCCTTGCTTTCTTCTGAAACTTCACTCCAGCCTCCGTCCTCTGCCTGCCTCTCAGCTCCCCTGTCTCCCAGGTTCCCACAAACAGCCTGGTAGGCTCTGAGCTCTCAACAGCTTTCCAACCCAAAGTTCCATCCTCCTTCCTCAATCCTCCCAAGGAGCAACATGGTGGGTCAGTCATAGCAGTGCCCCATCCCTAGGACCGGTTTCTGTCCTCGTTTGCTCTGACTGCTGTGGTAAAGATGAGGGTGGAGAGTAAACTGGGGAGGAAAGGGTTTGTCTGGCTCCCATCCCTGCATCCCACTCCATCACTGAGGGAAGCAGAGGCCATGGAGGAACTCTGCTGGCTGCCTGATACCCTTGGACAATCAGTCTGATTTCTAAAAAAACATCTCAAGACCACCTGCCCAGGACAGGGAATGCCCATGATGGACTTGGTCCTCCCACACTGATCAAGAAAATGCCCCACAAGCCTGACTCCAGGCCAGGCTGATGGAGGCATTTCCTCTATTGTGGGTCCATCTTCTCCAGATGGCACTCTCCCTGTCAGGTTGACAAAGAAAAATAAAAATGGCACAAGGTGAGAAAGTAGAAAATGGAGGGGGAACGTGGGTAGCAAGGGAGCAGAGCACAGGGGTTCAGAGATACAAGGGTTTGGGGGAACAGCAAGGAACAGGATGCTGTAGGAGGGAGAGGGAATGGTGAGGGAGTGAGGGAGGACTTTCCATTCTTGTTCTAAGTGATTTCCTCTAGTCCACTTTGTAATCAGCTAACTCTCTTTTTAGCCGTGTCTAATTCACTGTTCCACGGTGGCTGCTTCACTTGTGTCTCTGCCTATCTACTTCCTTCTTTGGTAAACTCTTCATGCCATTTTCTATGCCTTCTATTTTCCTGACATTTCAAGCCATTACCTTTTTAAATGGGTGATTTCTCGGTATTTTTCTCGAATTTTTAAATATGTGTATGATGCTTGTATATACCTGTTTGTGGGAGCACACGTCTTTGTGTGTGCCTGTGTGAGCATAAGGATGTGGAGGTCAGAGCGTGAGGGCGGGTCCTCAGTCACGCCCCACCTTGTGTAATCAGTCAGGG